GGATGTTAATAAATGTTGGATTTTGTGTATTTTTTGTTTTGTTCTTGGACTAGAATCAGAATCATAAAAAGGGAACAAAACTGTATTTTCTATTTGTTGATTTTTAGTATATAGTATATACTTATTTTTTTTAAAGATTTTGGAATCTTAATTTTTGTTTATCTAGGCAGCAAGCAAGAAAATTCTAACCATAAATATACTTGTGCAGGCTTCAACTTTAAGGACAACACAGCTGTTGATATAAATGGTGAGCTCAATGATTCTGATAATGATATAGATGATGATAATTTTGAAATTGATAACTATGTTTCAGAACATGTCTCGGTTGGATATAACCATGTTTTGGGTGAAGAAGACCAATGTGATTTTGACCCAGAAGAATTGTATTATCCATCATCTGAGGAGCTTGACATTGAATACGCTTCTGGAGAAAAAGGAAATTTTAGATTTCCAGAATTCCGTCCGAAGAAGGAATTGATGGATCTTGAGCTGGAAATTGGCAAGAAGTTTGCGGACATTAAGGAGTTCAAGAAAGCAGTGAGAAACTATGGGGTTATGAGTAGGACTAATATTATATTCAAAGTTAACGATGACAAAAGGGTACTAGCGGTGTGCAAATCAGGATGCAAATGGATGGTATGGTCTTCGTGGACCAAAAAGGAAAGATATGTGCAAATAAAGTCAATCACTCCTACACATACATGTAATAGAGATGGCACAAATAGGCAAAGAAGATTTGAAAGTGAAGACTAATAGGATGACTGTATGTAGGACTAGGAAATATGCTAGATTGTTGATAGAAGTGTCAGATGAACATCAATTTGGGCTACTACGGTCATACGCTGCAGAAGTGATAAGAACAAATCCCGGGTCTACGATATAATTGTTGTTAAGGATTCGAAATCTCAAGGCATATATGTATGCTTAGAAGCATGTAAGAAAGGTTTTCTACGGAGTTGTAGGCGATCGATAGGTTTAGATGGTTGTTTCTTGAAAGGAAGCTTTGGGGGCCAGATGCTTTCAAGAAGATTCAACTTCTTTTTGTAATGCTCTCGAACCATAAGCAAGTGAAGACAAGATTCAACTTCTTTTTTTAATGTACTAGGAAGATCTGCAAACAGCAATATTCTTTTTTGATGGGCAATGGACCAAATGACCAAAGAAATTTATGTTTCATTTTGATTGGCAGTGGACCAATCATTTAAGTTTTTGCTTGCTATGTTTTTTTATGGTTTGTACTTGCAAATTCTTGGATTTTGAACTATGGTTTCCAGATTTCTGCTCATGGAAAAATTGGTTCATTTTCTTAGAATCGTTATAGTAATTGGAGCATTGTTATTTAGTTACTTTTACAGTTACATTTTGTTTTTATTCAGAAATCTTCAATTTTATATTCAGGTAACTTATGGCTGACATTTTTAACTTTACTTATAACTGGTGAATCATGCACATCTTTTTCCATGTACAACAGAAACTAGAGGAGAACTATAGTAGTATTTTTCAATCCATTCAATGTTTTGTAATGTATAAAGATACAATTAAATGTCTTTAAGTTATCTTTTGTAATGTGTAAAGACACAGCTTTCGTTTGAACTTCATGATTTCTCAAGTAAAGTTGCTAGAAGAGAAATGTTTCTGTATTACAGATAAAATGTTGTCAGGGAGATTTACATAGATCATACAAATAAAAATGACACAAAAATACCTAATACAAACTACAACACCATAAGCCATATGCCAACATACAACAAATGCTCTAAGTGGCATTTTGACAAACAATGCATAGACAAAAATCATTCTGATTATTTATCTTCTTCATGGCTATATACTCTTCACTTTTTGAACCACCAAAATTGAATAAGAAAGTTCGAAAAAAAGAGCTTAAAATCTGAACTTATAATTTTTAATGCCCATGAAATCTGCATCCATTGCCCCATTTCTTGTCAACGATTCCTAACAATAGAGACTTCTCCACAAAGGCATATGTCCCTTCCACAATTTTGGGTTTACTTGATGAATGAAGCATCTCCAAAAGAACAATGAAGGTTTGGAATTACAATTAGGATTTGGGAGTGATTTTCAGACTACCTTCAAGATTTAATCATCTCCAATGTTAATAAAAGCGATGTCAATCGTTTAGTCATGTTAGGGGCTGTTTGGAAGAGTGATTTGTTGACGTGGAGTGTTTTAACGGTTAAATAATGCCACATCATATTTCCATTCGCCATGTGGATAGTTTGTTAAAGACGTCAAACGGATTTCATCTCAATGACGGATGAGTTACGTTAATGATACTTGAATGAGCATTGAGTCACAATTTAAAGTACAATTAGCAAGTAGTTACAAAAGTTAAAGTACACTGACTATTCATTTATTTTACCCGTTCTAGGGTTTATCTTTTTGACTTCTATTTTGGCTTTCTGTTATTGGGCTGAATATAGGTTTATATAGGGCCTCAAAGCCCAAAAGTAATCTCCAGCACATTTATGGGCCTGGCTAGGAAATTGATCTAGTTAAGCCTCTACATCATCTTAAAATTAGTCGACTCGACTCGAACTATCCCAATCATAGCATCGGTCATTGGGTCACTGGTTTGATTAACAAGTTAAGATTTAACCGATGAATCATTGCTAAATGTACATATCGATTATGAACTATTTTTTAAAATAGTTAATAATCGATATGTATTAATACTCGTCACATTTCAAAATTTTATTTTCCTCTCTCACAACCTATTTCCTCCCAAGTTGTATTTTATAACAGGTCTAAGGTTGGAGATTGGTATTGAAAATTTGAACAAATGCATATTTAACTTTTACCAAAATATAGGTTAAATCAATGACTCATCCGATTTTATCCGAGTTTCTCTGGTTCTAGTCCATGTTGACTAATAGAAATTGTGTCTTTGTTCTCATTAATATTATTTGATTAATCTTCACCAAATGGATGTAACTACGTCCTACGTAGAGGTGACAGCCCTTGCAGAAACACGATCAACGAGGAAATTTAGGGTGGCTACTAAGGTGAATCCTTTAGTTGGCGTAAAACTCGTCAATGCATGATCTCAACATATGTAGAAAGCTATGAATAAATAAAAAGGCATCAAATCAATAAACATAAAAAATAGAAAATAACAATATACAAAAATTTTGAATTTTTTTGCACATGAGTACGCATAGGTTATTCTACCATACGTACGCATGGCGTTGAGCCTGCAAAAATAGAAGCAAAAATGCTTCTTCCATGCGTACACATGGGGTTAAAAATCAGTCGTTGGCTGATTTTTCAACTTGAAACCTGATGTCATTTTGGATGAATAATTCTCTCTTTTCATCATGTTTAGGCACCATTTCGTATAGTATTGGTTGAGAACTATAAATAGATGATTAATGATCTATACAAAATACATCAAACACCACTTGGAGATCAAATTCCATTCCACAAGAAAGATTAAAACTCTTTTATTTCATATTCAAAAGTATATTCTGTGTTCTTGAGTTTTGAAGGAATTTCACTAGTGCTTATTCCTTTTCAAGACTTGATAAATCTTATAAACCATTTGTTGAGAGTCCTTTTAAGCACCAATTAAATCTTGGAGAGGGCAAATACCGTTTGAGGACAACAATCTCGTGTTTGAGTCTTTATACCATATTTAAAGCTCTTGAATTTTTATTTTTGTTGTCTTCTCCATTCTCTTGAAAAAATATTATTCCAACACCTATCGAGCTTTAAAAATCTTGTTTAATAACCTTCTTGTGCAATTCTGGTATAAGTTCGCTCGAGCGGATTGAGAAAGCCTTGTCTAATACTTGGCCTCACTCAAGCAGGCAATGGCATGCTCGAGCGAAGGTCTGAACTTCTTTTTTTGGGCTTCTTGTCCTCTTTTGATATTTGAGATTTGACTTTTCACTTGTAATATTCTTCACTCTTAGAATCAAGGAAAAGGAAGCTAAAATTATAGAGCC